CGCACATTATGCGGGGTGGGGGGGTGGGGTACGCATATTCCCATCAAGAGTGGCTGGTATGGTCGGTAGAGTAGACTAGATGGTAGATGGCCCCAGGGCAAGTGAGGGATCTGGGACCCAGCCATGAAAAGATTTCACTGGGCAAACTCTTGCTAAGAATGCATGTCCTGAACTTGATTTTAAATGGGGGTGGGGACAGCAGGGAAAAGGGGCTGTGCAAAGGACACCTGCCTTCCATGTAGCCCATCCGGGTTCGAGTCTCTGGCACCCATATTCGCCTGAGCCCCTCCTGAGCATACTGAGTATGGTCTTCCTGCCCTCCCATTAAACGAAAGGGTCAGAGAGATAGGCAGGTAAAGGCATTACTTGCCTTGCATGTGGCCTACCTTGGATGATCCCAGGCACCGCCAGGAGTGATCCCTAAGCACAGAACCAGGAGTAAGCCCTGAGAACAGCCAGGCATGGTTCAAAAACCAAACATAGGGGCTGGAGTGGTAGTTCAGTGGGTTGCACAGCCAACTCTGTTTCAAATACAGCATCCCATATGGTCCCCTGAGTACCGCCAAGAGTGATTCCTGAGTGCAGAGCCAGGAATAACCCCTGAGCATCGCCAGGTGTGACCCCAAAAGGAAAACAAACATAAAATAAAAAATGACAATCAACGATATCAAATGCTGCTAAAGATATGGAGCAACTGGAACTATCTTTTCTGATGAGAATGAAAATAGTACAGCTACATTAGAGAGTGATTTTTGGCTTCTTACATGTATTTTCCATAAGACCCCACAATTCCACTGCTAGGTATTTACCACAAAGAAATAAAAATACATGTCCATGCAAGTTTTTCTACTGGTTTTATTTGTAGTTGCCTCACACAGGAAAGAATCCCATGTGTGGGTACAGAGATGACTGAGGCTCATCCACACAATGGAATACTACTTAGCAATGAAAAATACACTGATTGCTAGTGTTCCCAATGCTAGTGTTCCCAATCAGTTCCTGGATGGACTGTACAGAATTCAGCCCAAATGGTGCCCTAGGTTTCATTTACAAGACATCATGGAAAAGGCAAAACTATAGAGACAATAGAAGGTGGTGAGGTTGGAAGAATTGGAGTGAGCAAGGAGTTAAGAATTGTCCACCAAGTTAGTGAGGGAATGGCTGCAAAGCAAAACAGGAACTTTTCAGGTGCTGAAAATTCTCTTTTGATTGTGGTGATGGCCATACAACCATATATTTTGGTAAAAACTTATAAAATCACATACTTCAAGAGAGGTCAATTTTACTGTATATAAATCACAAACTCAGTAACTCGATGTAACCAAAATTTGTTTCCACCTGGTCCCAGTATCCACCTTTGCACCCTGGGAAGGAGCATGGCCAGCTCCTCAAGGGCCACACCGAGGAGCAGCCCTCATCATCTCCAGTCTCAGGGATGCTCAGGGACCAAGCACAAGGCATGAATGCCAAAGGATGACTCAGGGTAATGTGAAGACCTTTGAATACCCATCCTTTTTCCCTAAGTAACACTATGTACTCAAGGGTGCCACAAAGCAGATACTCAAGTGGAGTCACATGCCATCAGAGACTTTCAAAACTCTACAGGACTTCACCTTAGATTGTTGAATCTCCTAAGAGGTGAACACCACATCTCTGGTTATTTTCCTCAAGATATCAGTGAACATGTCCACTCCATGTCAGAAACTCACCTTTCCACTTTCACAGAGAAGGGCACCCCCCCCCTTGGCATGAACATCTTCCTCTCTTCTTGAGGGCCTGGAATGCTCAGAAAAGGATAAGTATCTCAGATCTGTCCTTATTTTGCTTTGGCATTTTCAGGCATGCCATTTCTCTCTATGTGTGGTAGTAAATCTTGACATCTTCTACCAATGAGTCTGGCGTTGTTTCATCTGTCCAACCTCAGGAGAGTTCAGGTGGGGTGGGTTGCCCCCTTCTCCCCAACAAAGCCCTACTGGTCCACTCAGATCTCGGGAGCCAACCCACAGTTTCTGAGGTAAGTTTACTGTGGTTGTTCCAAGTCACTAAGCTTGGGAATGGTTTGGAAGCTGCACAAGCCCTCTTTCCTTCCTGCCACATGAAGTTCCCAGTATGTCACATTCAAACTGCTCCTTGCTCTTAATTAGTCTTTCTCCAGATAGCTAAGTTCAGTAGTGGGCAACTAGAGTCCATTTCCATTTCAACTCTTTTACTGCATGGTCAACCTGGTCTTAGAAGACCCATGACAGCTGCGTTCTCAAAGTTGGACATTTGCTATCCCAATTTTGTCCTTATGGGTTCCTCCAATGAGACACAGCACAGCCAACACTTAATCATGCAGTGGCCCCAGCAGGGAAATGTCAGATTCTTAAAAAGGGCCCTGTTTCAAACAAAAGATGGGGGGGGGGGGGAGTTTATGATAAGTTTAATAATCTGACATATCCCCTCAACAAATTTTCTTTATTCTTTTGTTTAACATTTGTCACATGGTATAACAACACAGACCCAAATATTTATATGCAACACGCTTCCTATCATTTAATTGCCTTTGAATCAATAAAAAATTAATTAGTAGGGGTCAGTGGGAGACAATATTACCTTTTTTACCTTTTTCTGAGAGTATTATGTGTTTATTTAGCACCTTTACTTAAGGAGCTCGGGATACTTTAACATTCATCGTAGCATCCTCTTACATCGAAATAGGCAAAGTGTCAAAATGATCATTAGTGCTCTTTTACAGAAAAATAGGAAAGTCGAGAAAGACAGGAATTCAGTGAGATGACAGTCATAGCAGAAAACTGAGTTTTGAGCTCAACATTTGACTTTGTGAGCTAATCTTTAACACACTCCACAAAGGTATAACGCTTTCTCCCATTTTTATAACATGTCTTCTCGGGTGAACGTTAACTAAGAGGGCACAACAGTTAATTCCCACCAACACTAATCGTGGGTTTGGGTTTTTTTTTTTTAATGTTGACTCAGGAGTCCCACAAATGGCACAGCTACCCTTGTATCTCCATTAAAAAATCCTAACTGGCTACTTCCAGGCCAGCATTTCCAAAGATCCTGCTGCTAACCAGGGGGAATCTAGGATCAAGGGTTATTCCCTGCAGAAGGGCAAGGGTGCCCGTTCAGCTCTGGACAGCAGCCAGTATTAGCAGTCTTAACACCTACCCGACCCACAAAACGAATGTCAGTGTGCTTTGGCCTTTTTGCCTTCCTCTGGCATCTGAGAGCAAAGGCTCATGAGGCCCCAGAGAGGAGGCATTCCAGATCACTCCTTTTCAATCTCACTCACACTGGAGGTTTCCTCACCGAGGGCTGACGCTGAGGGAAAGGCAGCTCTGAGATCAATTTCCTTCTGCTCACACGATGTGAGATTCATTTATAATTTAGACACATCCGGAAACAGCAGGAGTGTTTTCCAGGCCTACGTGCTGAAGCCTAGCAGCACAGATATGCAGCAGCCGGGCCACTGCGTGAACACCTTCATGTCATGCTTTGTATGCCATTAGCATGCTGACGGATTCTCTGGGACAGGACTCTCTGGGACAGCCCTTCTTTCCACTTTGGGCACGGGGCGGTTGTGCGTCCTATTTGTTTTACAAGTCTTTCGGAAAGACAGCAAGAATCAGACCAGGCAGAAACCTGGCAGTTTAGAGATTTAATTCCGGGGCACTGATGATTTCTGCTGGAAGGGGGGGACATTAGGATGGATTAGGGGAGAGGGTCACATCCCGCACCTCAGTTCTACCTGAGGAGTGGACCTAACTGAAAATACCCCTCGTGTGTGTGGCGGGGCGGGGGGAGGGGAGGGGGTGTTTGTTTTCATTTAGAAACTCAGGAACACGGAAATTTTCATTATCCCTCCACCTGTTCCCAAATCTTCACCCCAGATTTCACATTTCTAGCCCTTCTCCAAAAGTGCTTGGTATAGACACACCCTTCCCCGCCTTCCTCTAAGCCATCAGCAAATCACAGGTACTTTCTACTAAAGGCACAGACTAAAGACTAAAGACTTCACCCTTGGGAGAGAATATTCAAGAAAATCCTTGAACTATCATAAAAGTGGGTAGGGTACTTGCCTTGCAAGGGACAGTGGGTTGGGCACTTGCCTTGCAAGGGACAGTGGGTAGGGCACTTGTCTTGCAAGGGACAGTGGGTTGGGCACTTGCCTTGCAACGGACTGTGGGTAGGGCACTTGCCTTGCAAGGGACAGTGGGTTGGGCACTTGCCTTGCAAGGGACAGTGGGTAGGGCACTTGCCTTGTGTGCAGCCGACCTGGGTTCAGTCCCCGGCATCTCATATGTTCCTCCTGAGACCCTCAAGAGTGATCCCTGAGTGCAGAGCCAGGAGTAAGCCCTGAGCACTGCTGGGTGTGACCCAAAAGCCAAAAAGGAGAAAAAAAGTGTGGCATGTGGAGAAGTATCAAAGAAACATCCCTAACGTGAAAAACAAGTAACAGACACATGCAGAGGCGTGTCGTCATTAAGAAAGATGTGTCAGAGAGATGAGCTACCCCTGAAGGGAGAAGGGAGGGGAGAGATGGATTCAAAGGTAAAGGTGGATCCGCAGGACAGCAAGGAGTGCCCGTCATTGACTGGTTACTGATAAGGGATACCGACCGGGTATCAGTGGGTGCAGTAACAAGTGTGCTTTAAAAGAGGGGAGGGGGGTCTCTAAGGGGCGGCAGTGGCAGTACAGCAGGTAGGCACTTGCCCAGCACGCAACCCACCCGGGTTTGAACCAGGCATCCCAGATGGTCCCCTGAGCCTGCCGGCAGTGATTCCTGAGTGCAGAGCCGGGAGTAACCCTGAGCATCGCCAGGTGTGGCCCGAAAGTCCAAAAAAGAGAAGTCTGATTCCACCCAGAACCGGTGGGTAGAAGTTCCGACACGTGGGTACCGCTGAGGGCTGGCAGCGCTCCCCGCCCTGCCCCGGTGCACGGGCCACGGGTCGTTACGCAGGTCCAGGGGCGTCCCGAGAGGGGACGGGCAGGGCGCATCAGGGCGCATCCGGCGGCCCCGCGGAGGCCGGGCCCTGCTCCTGCACCGGCCGGGAGGCCTTGTCCAGTTCGGCCACATCGGGCGAGCCGTGGGCTCCGCTCTCCTGCTGCGGATCCGGGAAGCGCGTGCCCAGGCCGGCGAACGAGGCGCAGCACGGTGGGTTCTCCTCCTGCACTGGGTGCCCGGGGGGCTCCCCCGCCGCGCCCGCCGTGCCCTCCTGCGAGCTCTGGCTCACGTAGACCACGATGATGTCGCCCTTGAAGTTCATCACCTGCCCGCTGGAGATGAACGTGGAGTTACTGTTCCCGGTCACGCTGCCTGCAGGGGCGGGGGAGAGAGCACAGGCCGGTGAGGCAGCGCCGCGGGAGGGGAGGGTCCCCGGACGGTCCCTGCCGCCCCGCGCCCACCCAAGAGGGGACCAGGGCAGCCACATAAGGCCACCTCCGTGTCCGGTGGGGCGCCCCTCTGCTTAGACTGAAGAAAACCCCCTGACCATTGCACCCCCAGATCCCAGGTGAGTAACCAGGTTACGGAACCAGATGGCCCTCCGGTCTGGTCCAGGAGGAAGGAAAAAGGCTGGGGGGATGGGTACGACCCCTGCTCCCAGCATCCCCTCCTCCCCAACACGCGACTCTGGATCCAGTGGATATTTGTCAAGTTCTTTTGAGTTTTTAAAAACCCTATTCCTGGAAATAGGGTTGGAGCAATAGCACAGCGGGTAGGGCATTCGCCTTACAAGCGGCCAACATGGCCGACCCGAGTTCGATTCCTCCGCCCCTCTCGGAGAGCCCGGCAAGCTACCGAGAGTATTCGATATGCCAGACACAGTAACAACAAAGTCTCCAATGGAGACGTTACTGGGCCCGCTCGAGCAAATCGACGATCAACGGGAGGGCCTTTACCTTTACCTTTTATTCCTGGAAAAAAAGTTTCAGAAGAGACTAGGGTGGAGCCGATGTGGGCGAGGCCGGCCCACAGGTGTGAGCGGGATGTCAGGGTGGGGCTGAGAACAGCCCCATCTGGTGACGGCAGCTTCTAGCTCCAAGCCCTCCAGCCTGGCTGGGGAGATGGTGCAGGGGGGAAGGCCCGTGCGGGGACGCCCAGAACTGCTTAATCCTGCCCCAGCCCCTCCAGGAGTGAACCGTGAGCACGGAGCCAGGAGTAATCCCTGAGCACGGCTGGGTGAGGCCCCAAGATAGTGCAGAGGTTACATGCTCTCCTCTGGAGCATGGTGGGAGGAGCTAGGGGATGGGACGTGGCCCCCAAACCCTGCACTTCTAAGCCTTGTGTGTGTTTATACGTACAGAGAGGTCTTCCTTGCCTCGCAAGCTATTAACCTGGTTTGATTCCCGGACTGTCTATGGCCTCAGATCCCAGCCACGAGTCACTCCTGAGCACAGAGCCGGGAGTAGCCCTGAGCACCTCAAGCTGAGCTCCGAGAGACCCTCCAGGCCACCCGCCAACAACAGCAGCAGCAACTGAACACAGCACGCTCCAGTTTTCCAGCCGGACAAGCAGCAAGCAACCGCGCCAGGAACCTTTCCCCCCCCATTTCCTTCTCTCCATATTAACCAAGGCGAGCTCGGCCATAGGCATGAGCCCCATGGATTGTAGCCGTGAACCAACCCTCGTCTCCGTCAGTGCTATCCTCCCCTCCCCGCCTTTTCCTCTGAAACCCCCTTAAACAGAGATCAAAGTGGCCATAACTCTTTGAATTGCCCCCCAGCACTGGCGCTGTCCTGGACCTAATTCCCACACCTTATTTACAACTAGTGAATGTAAAAGGGGTTTAAGAGTAAGATCTGTTACTCCTGTGAAGTGGGAGCCAAGGGTATGTTTAGAGCCCAGCTCTTTTTTTTGTGGGGGGGCGGAGAGGGACAGGGGATGTCACACCCTTGCAGTGCTCAAAGCTTACTCCTAACTCTGTGCTCGGGGGTCACCCCTGGAGGTGCTCAGGGGACCATGAGTGTGCCAAGGATGGAGCTATTTCTTAAAGTGTCTCTTCAGTTGTACTGGCCTACCGGGGTCTCCACACAACGAGCGGCATCCACAACATCCTGATGCATGAGCATGGCTGTGTGAGCAGCCCAAGAAAGGGCAGGGAATCAGGGAGCATGGGTCAGGAATTTAAATGTTTGGGAGACAGAGTCAGCATCCGGTTAAAAATTTAATTCCAGGGGCTGGAGCGATAGCACAGCGGCTAGGGCGTTTGCCTCGCACGCAGCCGACCCGGGTTCGATTCCCAGCATCCCATATGGTCCCCTGAGCACCGCCAGGAGTAATTCCTGAGTGCAGAGCCAGGAGGAACCCCTGTGCAGCAATAAATAAATAAATAAAAATTTAATTCCAGCTGTATCACCCTATTCAAAATTTTAGAATTCCTGGAGCAACATCTCATACTGTGTATACCACTGACATACCAGGAGTAGCACACCATACCGGACTGGGTAGAAAGTAGGAGGCAGCCGATCTCGACCAAAGGGGGGATGTGTGTGTATATATATATATATATATATATATATACATATATATATATATATATGCACACAAGGCTCAAACTGTAACAACATGTTAGTGACAACAAGAGCTTAATGGTCCAGGGTGAGATACAACAATCTTCACACACTTTCTTCTAACGAAATATTTTTTCTTCTAAGGAAATATATATTTTTGATCATTTTTAGCACAATGTTCAAAACAAGCAATACACAATAAATTATTTAGGGCCTGCTACTGGGGCAGGCTTGGGTAGTGGTTGGGAAAATCGGAAATAATGGTGGTGGGAAGGTGTAGTGGTGGTGGGTTGGTGTTGGAATATTGAATGGAATAAATTATTGTGAACAACTTCAAAATAAAAAAATAAATAAAATGCTTGGGAGAGGGATAAACAGGAGTAAGGTGTTTGCCTTTCACACGGCCAACCATGTGTTCAATCCTCGGCCCCACACAGGGCCCCCTGAGCTCCCCCAGGAGTGATCCCTGAGCACTGCAGGTATGGCCCAAACTCGCCCTTCTCTCCCTGAGAAGCTGCCTTGGCAACAGCGATGGTAAGTTCGAGGTGTGCGAATGCCGTCTCTCCTCCCAGAACGTGACTCCTGAGGAAACTCCCAAGGCTGGGGGAAGGGGGGTTCTCCCTGACCATAGTGGGGGCGTGCCCTTTCTCCCCATCTGAAGGATCTTGGTGTGTCTTAAAGACAGAAGGGCACTTTCCTCCTGAACTCTAGCCAACTTGTGTTTCCCCAAAGAATGACCCCAGACTCTGTCTCTGGCCAGGACAGTCACCTGGATCATTCCACACACGACCTCCACGCTTGCATTTCCCACTAGGCACCTGTCTTCCAAGCTGAGGGTCTGGGAGTGGGGAAGACCCCAGCCAGTACCATGCCTCTATCCTGATCTGGCCTTGTGTCAGAGCAAGTGATTCCTTACAATGTGCTTTCCAGGGAGACAGTGTCAAGGGTTGGGGCTCTGGTCAAGCATGCCACTGACCCAGGTTTGGTCCTCAGCACCCCAGATGGTCTCCCGAGCACTGCCAGGAGTGATGCCCAATCACTGAGCCAGGTGTAAGCCCTGAGCACAACTCTATGTGGCCCAATGCAACAACAACAAAAAAAGTGCTTCCTCCCTTTCAGAACAGAAGGGTTTTTTTTTTTAATTTATTTTTTGGGTCACACCCGGCGATGCACAGGGGTTACTTCTGGCTCATGCACTCAGGAATTACTCCTGGCAGTGCTCAGGCAACCATATGGGATGCTGGGAATCGAACCCGCATTGGCTGCATCTAAGGCAAACACCCTCCCCATTGTGCTATCACTCCAGCCCCAACAGAAGGGTTTTAAATACTACTGCAGACCAACCTGCCAGAGACGGGCTTGGAGGGTAAATCTGGAAGTTTCGCTAACGGCATGCACGGCCTTGTTTAGCGTGGCTGCTGTGGTTTCTGCAGTGGTTTCATGCCCCCAACTGACTCCTACACAGAGCCAGGGGCGTGCCAGAATGCTCTGCCCTTAGGGGACCCATCTTCCTTAAGGGCTGGAGTGGATTTGGCGCATGCTTTAGGCCCAAACTCCGCAGGTGCACCCTTAGGACCAAGCCCTGTCATGTACTTTAATTTTCACTTTCGAGAGGTAGAGTTGGGGCCCTTGGAAGAAAGGGCTTCCCGCATCCGAGTCTCAGAGATGAAGACTCCCTTCCCCAGGTGCCTGGTAGGAGATGGCATTCACAGACCACCACGGTTCACAATGCTACTGTCCTAGCAGGGTGGAACCTTCCAGGCCTTTAGGCCTGGCATAATATGATGGCAGCACCCCTAGGACCAGAGGGGAGCATTACCCCAGGCTTAGCAATGGCGAGGGGGGTACTTGTTGGCTCTCCCTGTGGTCCTGTGAATTGTGAGAGTTTAAGGGGAGGCAGACCCACTGCCCTGCTGGCGGGGGAACCTTCTCGCTCTTTTCCAAGCAGAAGGCAATGTCTAGAACACAATGAGAGGTTAAGTGGAGAGGCCCCAAGATTCAATTTGAAAATCTGAGATCTCTAACACTAAGAAAGAGCAGGGGGTTCATTTGGGTTAACATTGATATTTAATCCGACTTAACTATTGTGATTTAATTTTAAAAGGTTCAGGTAACTTGGGAGTTGTATAAAAATACCATTTAAGGGCCAGAGAGATTAGCACAAAAGTTAAGACGCTTGTTGGCATGTGGCTGCCATGGTTCAAATGTATGCATGGCATGCGGTCACCGGAGCACAGAGTCAGACGCAGCCTCTGAGCTACAAGTGTAATCCCCCCAAAATAATAATAATAATAATAAACACCCCAAAACCTAAAAGATGATGATAATACACCAGAGAGGACAGCAAGTGACACTATCACAAGAGTGATAGTCCTGCAGATGGCACAGCAAGGCATCTGCCTTGGCTGCGGCCTACCCGGGTTCCATCCCGGAACACCTTATGGTCCTCTGAGCCAGCCAGGAGTGACCCCTGAGTGCAGAGCCAGGAGTAATCCCTGAGCACTGCCGGGTGTGGTCCCCAAACAAAGCAAAGCGAAAAAACACAGAAATAACAAAACTCAACAAAACCCCCACCCGTTTAAGTCAACAGAAGTAGGGAACCACTGAAGCATCCCATCGGATTAGTACAGTTTCTGTTTTGCTAAGCCCAAGCCTTCCCTAGCAGTCTCTGTGGAGGCCCAGTTCCCATGCCGTGAGAACACGCTTCCCTGTCAGAAACCAATCCCTGACACAGTCACATTGTTAAAGCAAGGTGATGTGCATTTTTTTTTGCCTCAAAAGCTAATTGTGTTGTTTAAAAT